TCTATATGCCACATATAAGTGAAACCATCTGATATTTCTTTTTCTTTCTGACTCATTTTGTTTGGCACAACCCCTTCCATTTCCACCTATGTTGCTGCAAGTGACATCAGTTTATCTGTTTTGATCACTGAGTAATATTCCATTGTGTGTATATGCCATATCTTCCTGACTCAGTCATCTCTTTTGGGTCATTTGGGTTGTTTCCATATTTTAGCTATTGCAAATAATGCTGCAGTAAACAGCATTATTTACCCTCTTAAATAATTTCAAGCTCTTCATTCATTCCCTTCCAAAAGCTGTTGCTGTTATTTTAGCCTCCTCCTTCTCTTTCTTCCCCCTCTTCCTCTCCCCCTCCATTTCTTTCAAGAATATGTTCCATTCAGTGCAAACTCTTTACCTGCTTCTTGACTTTCTTTTCTATCAATTTATTCTGGGATAAGAGTTTTTCCATCACTCCTCCAGGCCGTCCTGTCAGTGCAGCTGCTCAATGTCATGTGAAGGCCGGAGACAGGAACAGTCCTCAGTTACTCTCACAGATGAGACATTCTAAAAAAGCCAATGGAATTTTAGAAGAACAGCTATAGGGACAGAACAGCATACCAATGGAACAAATGAGAAGCCCCAGAGACAGATGTATACATATATACACACACACACACACACACATATGCACACACACATATATACATACGAACATACATATGGTGACTTGATTTATGATAATGTTGGCACTACAACCTAGAGGAGATGATGCTGGGGAAACTGGTTGACTCTAGGGAGAAAAGGAAAAATTAATCTTCGTATCTCACTGAGTACAAGCGTGCACTCCAGAGGGGCAAATACACTTAATGTAAACTGAAATTATCAAGAGAAAAAGAAAAACATGCAGGTTCTTGTTGTGACTTAGGAATGGGGAAGATCTTCAAAAAGATCAACACAACAAAGTGCTCAACAAAGTAACTGGTATTTATTGCATCAAGATAAAAATATCTGTTAGACAGAGAACACTAAAGACAAATTAAGACATATGACATATTGGGAAAGACAAATGTTTTCTTAAATGGTGGGGTGGAATGAGGACCCCCCCCCAACTGGGTCATCCTTGTTCCCCAGGGTTTGCGACATTTCAATTCGTTAGCCTGAAAGTGGTGTCAGGGTCACAACTACTTCAGTGAGAACAATTTACCTTTATCTCCCTGCCCTTTCTTTCTATATCCCCTTCCTTTATTTTATCTGCAAGTAAATTTAAAAAGGACCGAATTACACGTGTGAATATGGTGATTTTCAAAACAGATGCAGAAAAACATTCTTGATAGCTGTGTACACTTTTGTAAATGGGGCCATGTTTAACTGGCACGCCTGAATGGAGAATGACTGCCAGAAACAGGAGGTTACAAGCATTTTCTTAGAAATGCAGAACTATTTCCATAGGACAAGGGGATTTTTACTATGGTGTTAGTACTCTGATTTTTAGTAGATTATTTTTCAGGGTTGAATATTGATAATGCCACTTTTGTCATGCTTTAATTATTTTCACACTAAGCTATAGATTAGTTCTTATTCCGCAGGAAATTGCCTCTGTCCAGCTATTTTCTCTCCGTTCATGTAAACTCAACACTTCAGTCTTTGTTCTAAATTCAGAACAGTGGTGAAAGGAATGGGCAATGTGATAAGATATCACTCTGTATATTGGTTTTCGCCTGTTATTAGCTGAATGCTTTAACAAGTTTATCAGTCCCATTTACTTAACAAATATGTTAAAAGCCGGAACTATGGTTCCTAAGACTCCAAAGTAAATAAGATTAAGTATTGTTGACTTGAATATTTCCTTCTTTCAGTAATTGTAGTTCAAAGAAGTTAAAGAATTAAGAGTTATGCTGTTCACGTATAATTCAATTCAACAAACATCTATTGTTAAAAATTCCTTTAACTTTTTCTTCTTGATATAGTGGGTCCTTAATAGCAAAGGGACTTTAGTTCAAACACTGAGCTATTTCCAACTGTACAATCAAAGGTATCCATTAGACTGGTGAATTGAGGATTTTATACTCTTATCACTAACTTACTGATTTTTAGTTAATATCCCTTCCAGGATTTAATGTTGATAATGTCATTTTGACATACTTCAGCTATTCATCCATGGTTCTCTTCTGGTTCTGTGATTTTCTTCCCTAGGTTGCCTTTCCTTGTGTTCCTAACTTACAAAGAATAACACTGTGAAATAAAATACTGGATTCAGAGATTTCCTCCCACCCTATTCACTTATTGGGGGCTACACCAATGCATATTTCACAAGTTTTCTTTAGGCAGCAACAATTACCCAGCTCTACAGACCACTACTTTGACTAAATCTTGCTTACATAATAATGGAGGAAGTAGAAACTCTCACATGAGGCAGAAAATCCTACTTAAGTAGATGATATCAGCATGCACATGTGACTGTCAACACTATATTTAGACTCGTCCATTGCTCAAAAGTAAATAGCTCTTTGTACATCTCTGCTCAGATGTCTATGCTGGGACTTCCTTGGGGGTGGCTTGTCTGGTTGAAGGCCTGAGATTAGATGGTGATAACACTTGGAGAAATTTTGAATAGCTAATGTCACAGAGAGTTGAAGAGCAGAAACACTACTTAAGGAAGGTGATATGTAGGAGAAGCTGTGGGTAAGTAGCATCCAGGATAAAGGTGTTGACCCAAGTGATGACTCTGGGTTCAGGGTTTCCAGGAGCCTGCAGGGAAGGGGTCTGTGGAGTCCAGGATAGAAGATGCTGCTTTGCCACACAGACATAAGGTTATTGTGGTCATCCTGTTTTCCTGGGCTGGGGGAAACATCTTGTTTTCCCCATGGCATCAGTGTCCAGCAATTTCTGATGGCCTCGACATCTGACATGTCTTCATGTGTCACTGGAATAGGGGTCTGTTCAAAACAGGAATTTTAGTTCAAAGAAAACAGATTATTAGTCACACAACCAACAGAGATGGTGGGACGAACACCCTAAAAGCCAGCTCCAGAATGGTGAGATTGCTGTGATTGTGGGGGAGGAAACAGAGAAGGTGCAGGACCTAGCCCCCCATAGAAGGTGTTTGCACATAGTCTATGCTGTGTGGGTATGCAGATGTCTATAATTGGTACGGTAACCTTTGCTTTCTCCTTAGCCCCAATCACTGGCACCAGACAATGTGGGCATCATAAGTCACAATGTTCCTTTGGGGATAACCACTGGTCTTCGAAAGGGCTCAAGAGAATTTCTGTTAGAGGTGCGGCACAATGGATTGTTAAGTTGCCTGTGAATGCAGTTGAAGAAAAAATTGCATTAGTCATGAGTTAAAAAGTTAATGGCAAGGAGGGGGTTGGGGAAGAGAGAACAAAAGGTGGCTAGAAATTCTAGTGAATTTTACTTTTCTAACAAAAAGCTTAAGCTTTAGGAGGGATTGGGGGAACTCGGTCACAGTTTGGGCCATTGTCAAGCTGTCGGAAGTCATCAGAGCATGTAACTCAGCTGAGGAACTAGGAGCCTTAGTTACCTCACAGTAAGGAACAGGAGCTCTGCTCTCTCCTCCCCTCTGTAAGGAACAAACAATGTATTTCAGTGCCAGGGAATTTTGGAAAGATACCAAGGCACCCTGAACCTAGAATTGATGAAGTACAGAGATGAAGCTCATTTCTAAAGGGAAGTGTATGTGGACACATGAACCACTGTTAATGGGGGAGGTGCTGAAAACAAGACTTTGCTGGGATGGGAGACAAAGCCTGCTATAGCAGGAGCCAAAGTCTACTCAGGACATTAGAGCATCAGAGGCAGCTGTGAATAGTGTTCAAGGCCGTAAGAAGTCTCTGGATTGAAGGTAGGTGACTCCTTTAGCAGAGGAGGACCCCAAAGAGGATTGCAGGTGCTCCTGTAGGGAGCGAGAGGGAGAGACCACAGGAGAGTGGCTCTCTTGGGAGATGTGGGATTGCCACATCAGTGGAGGGGGATGAAGTTAACCTCAGGATACCAGCAGGAGGTTCACACCACACAAGGGGACTTTGGGCAAAAAGGACTCTTCTTGAAACTACTGTAGCTGACATCAGGGAATCAATTTTTGCTTTGGAACACCAGGCTGTTGGTCTACTGGTTGTTTGTTCCATTGCTAATTTGTGGTGATGAATTTTATTATTTTTTTAAAAGTCAAATCTTGGGTTGGTAAAGTTTGGGCCAATTTATAGAGTTGCCTGGTGAAGAAACTTTCCCAGATCTCTGCCCATAATTTTGATAGAAGCTGATCTGCTAAGGTGTGCTATCTGTTGCCTTCAGAGTTATGATACAATAGTTTTCTTTAGGAGTTTTCTTATAGTGCTATAATAGATCCACAGAGCTGCAGGATCACTGTGTAGATAACCTGAAAAATTGTATGAGCCCTTTATTGTCCCTGAGTAGCTGTGTTTTGGGGAACTTAGTAAAGGGAAGAACTTCTTGAGAAATTCTTGTTTTAGCATTAATTTGTTGCCAATAATTTACTTTCCCCAGTGTTGCCAGATTGGAAGAGATTAAGTGGTGATTTATCAGAAAGCATAGCAGGAAAAATTTGTCGTCTTTACTAGGACCTCAACTATTGGCTAATGGCAAGTTTCTAGCTAAAAGGTAAGTGCTGATGCATGATATTTTTTTCTTTGTGTTTTCTAGAAGAGTTATATAAAATATGAAGAGCAGACCAGAGCTCTCTGGCGTCACGGAGTTAGCTAGGGCTAACATTTGCAGAGAGGGAGATACTGTAACTAACGGTTCAGAGCCTGGGCTTCACTGGCAGGTAGGCTGTTGTTAGTCATGCTCCTGGCCATTTACTTAATTCTAGCCTTTAGTTTGCTTCCTTGGTTAGTTTCTTAGTTCTATTAGGTTTATTTTTTTTTTATTTTTGTAAGTTATCTTGGATTTTCTAGGTAAGCAGTCATTTTTCCCTCTTTTTTTCTAATATGCTCAGTACATTTTCTTATTTCATTGCATTTGTTATATTTAACAAAATGATGTTGAATTGTAACAGTGAAAATGGACGTACACATTATATAGCTGGCCTTCATGGGGATTTTCAAATGGCTCATATTAAGTATGACGATCACGGTATGTTCATGTAGACATCATTTGTTAGCTTATGAAACTTGCTTGTGCTTTTTAAAAATAACAAATGAATATCAAGTTCAGCCAAAATGATCATATGACTTTTCTTCTTCACTCTATTAAGATAGTGTATTTCATTAAAGGTTTTCCTTTTAATTATTTGCCTATTTTGAATCATTCTTAAATTCCTCAGTTCAGTCCAAATTAATGTATTATTCGCTTTAATGATGTGGGCATTGATCTGATCATTTTTTATTTAGGATTCATAAAAATCTAAGCTTTTAAGTGAGCTCATTATTACCGTCTTATGTGCTGTCGGTTTCTGTGAATATGATTTCTAATTAATTGTGTTAATTCAAAGGAGCAGGCCAGGAGAGAGAAATGAACCTGCTGAGGGAGTTCCACCTCTGTCTGTTGGTCTTCCTGCTGCTTGTGTGTGGCTTCTTCTACCAATTCAACCTGAAGTCCAGCAGCCTGTTCTCCTACATATCCCCCTACAAACCCCAACCGGGACTAGAAGCTGTCCTGAGCCAAGGGCATAGCATAGTGTTCCTAGAGACCTCAGAAAGAATGGAGCCATCCTCACTGTCTTCTTGTGCTGTGGAGTCTGCTGCCAAGGTCTACCCTGGGCATTCTGTGGTGTTGCTTATGAAGGGGCTCAACAATTCCACACAGCTATCCCCAAATTCCAGTGACTCAGCCTTTTCCCTCCTCTCAACAATGGGCAATGTGTTCCTCTTCCCATTGGATATGAAAAGACTGTTTGAAGACACACCATTGTTTTCATGGTTTGCTCACGTAAGTATTCAAAGTCTTAGAATGACATTGTTTGGAAGAACCACAGAAAATGGGTGCAACCTACTCATGCTATACTTGGGTAAAGTGAGGGTAAAATCTCGGTATCAGAGAAGGGACTGGACCTTAAATCCTTTACTTGACCTTCTTTCCACTGCCACAAGTCCTAATTGTAGTAAAAAGGAGAGACCTAAATTATGCTTACCTGTAGCCTGGTATCTTTTGCTTTCAGTATTATTTCTTAGGATTTAGGTTGTTTTGAGACGATTTCAACTTAATGGGTTTCAATAACTTTCATCTGTGAAATACCATTTGATTTCCACTGAATTTTAAACCTATCTATGTTAAACATTTTTTTGTTTTTGTACACGAGGGGGAAACTAGGCAATATTAACTTTAAATGATATAAATAGAAAATTCATGAAGAATCACTTGGAGTGCTATTATATGAAAGTGGGTTATATTAAGATATGGTCAAGAAACATTTTTAAAAGATTTATTTTATTTATTTATGCACACAAGAACTGATGTGTAGGCCAGAGATGTGGGGGTGAGAGGATTCATCAGAGACAGAGTAGGGAGCAGAACAGGTATATCTACTGAAATACACTGCTGATGGGAGCAGTGGGTGAGATAGAAAAGGTCTTCTTTGCCTTGTGGGTCAGCTCCCTGGCTGGGGACAGAACTCTGCTGCAGTGACTGTGGACAGCTTCATAGTGCTGTAAGGACTTAATCCCTTACAGTACCAGGAAGCTCCTGGTCAAGAAATTTATAGAGCTATTAGGAATTTTGTAACCCTCATCTTAGTAATAAAGTAATACTATTTTAATTAAATATTTCTCTCACAGAGGACCCAAAGTCAAGTAATGAATAAGGAAATTTATAGAACAAACTCTCAGATTCCTTATGCAGGCTTTAATGGCCACATCTTATGCAGATTATAACACAACACGGGGCTAGATACTTATACAATTAATGTAATTATTTCAGCTATGTAAACCCCATACACATCAGGAAAAAGGCTTGAAGAAAACATACAAAACAATAATAGGTATTTTAGTATGATTGGTTCTGGAATGAATTTACTGATTAAAGTATGTTTATTTTATAAAATAATTATTTTAGAAAATAAAAAGTAACTTAAAAATTGATATCAAATTAATGCCATTTGCTTGCTATGTAAAGTCCTATCTAAATTCTAATCATAGGTTAATCCAAGTGTCAGCAAAGTGTTTTTGGTAAAGGGCCAGACAGTAAATACTTAGGACTGTGCAGGCTAAGAAGCAAAACTGAAATTGTTTTGTAGGTGTTTATATTATTTTCCTCTGACTGCCATAACAAATCATCACAAACTTGGTGACTTGAAACACAGAAATTTATTCTTTCACAGTTTTGGAGACTACAAATTCCAAATTAGTTTCTCTGAGTAGATATCTAGGTTCAGGGGCTCCATTTCTCTGAGAATTTTCCTGTATCTCTGCCTCCAGTCTCACCTCTTGTTCCTTTGTGCAGGTGTTTAACCCCTTCTCCTCTGTACATGTTTGTGAGCACATGTGTATGTGAAATCCCCTCTACCTCTTTCTTTAAAGGACACTGGTCTTACCAGGGTAATCTGAAGATCCTTAGTCACATCTGCAAAGACTTTTTTGTCATGTGGAGGAACATACACAGGTTCCAGAAATCAGGCCCTGAAAATATCTTCAGCCTACTACAGCATTTCAGCATGGAAAATAGAAGAAACCGTCCCCTCTGGCCCAGCCTGCCTCAGTCTCCTAGGGTCTGGGTAGGACATTGTTGGTGAATGTGAAGGACACACGTAAGCCTCGTTGCTATTAGTTGGAGATATTTTATTGTTCAAGTAGCAGGACCAATGGGGCAAGGGCACTCACTGATTGAGGTTCCATGTGCCATGTCTCGGTTGTTGCCAACACAGGGTTCCTGGTACTTAGGTGGCTATCAGCATGGGCCCTAGGCAGCGGCAGGGCAGACAGGACCAGGGTGGCAGGCATGTGAAGTGAAGAAGAACCAGGGAGGGGGACACACTGGCATGGTCCCTGAGGCCCTCAGTGCTAGCCTGCTAGAGGGTGCCAGGGCTGTACCACATCAGGCAGCATGCTGGCTCTGGGCCTAGTTTTCCTGCACAGGGGGCTAGACAGACGTCACTTAAACTGCGTTTTCTTGGAAAAAGAAATTCCATGAAATTACTTAGAAGGATTCTGTCTACTATTTCCTTTCCTCAGACTAATCATCTGTGAGGACATTATTTGATCCAACCCAGCATTTTTCAAACTTATTTGAGCACAGAACCCTCTTTCAACGTGATACATAATGTCTCAGAACTGATGTTTCATGGGAACAGCTGGGTTACCCTGAGCCACATCTCAGTTTGACTACATTAGGTTTTGGGAGAAAGGGGGGCTGGGTCACTGTCTGCCCCATCTAAGCCTGCAGGCACTCACCAGACTTAGCATCTAAGTGAGGGAGGAACCAACTTGCCATCACCTCCTGGTGGCCCATGAGTTTGCTGCAATGATTTGGGCTACTGTCGCCTTTGAAGATGCTTGGGAATGGGCGCTGTAGTTAAGAGCAGCCAGAAACCTAATTCCCTTGGTGTTCACATGTGGGGAGTACCTGTGTTTTAGGTCATTAGCCCAGTGCCCACACCCAGGCCCACTTTTCCTTTTCTGGGTTGATGTGCTTTTCCCACCACATGTCTCTGGGCCTATTCACAAACAACCATCGATTTGCCAAATCACAACTTTAGTTATGTCTTCCCAAACCTTGTTTCCTTTGCCTTGGGAGGGGAGCTGTGGGGGGAGGGGATCTCTGGAGTCAGGTGTTCTGAGTTCAAATTCAACCTCTTTCTTACCTTGGACAAATTGCTGAACTTCTTGGCCCTTTTCATTTTTCACTTGAAAAATATCAACGATCATAGTAGCATCCATCCTTGAGGGTTTGTATAGGTTATAAAAGGCTTGGAACAGTTATCAATACATTTTAGTTATATTTACTTAAATTTTTGGCAATTATGTACAACTTAATAATATGAACAACAGCTGAAAATTTCTGCAGTCTTAGTTGATCTGCTTTTGCTTGATTTTTTAGTAGAATTTAAAAAAATATCTATTTTCTCAAAACCAAGGGTCATTGTTTAACCTTCTGATGAACATATTTACATTCAGGACATTTATTTATTTTATTGTATTTTGCATTCCACTTTGGGGACATGCTATTTATCATCACTTATTTTTGTTCTTTTTAAAGTCATTTCTACTTTGCTCACATGTTAGCATTTCTGGTCATTGGCGGTTGACTCCTTTGGCTTTCACTCTACATTCGATCCATCAGCAAATCTGACCAGCATTATCTTTACCAGGGGCCTACATTTGAGCACTTCTCTCACTCCCCTTTCCACCAGGCCTGTGCCACTGTCATCTCTTGCCAGTATTGTTTCAATAGTCGACTAATTTTCCTTTTTGCTTCTGTCCTTGCCACCTCCCAATTCCACACCCTCCTCTGTTTTCCATGTTACAGTAGAAATTAATTCAGATCACATAACCCCTTTCTTCTGGACCTTTACCCCAGGCCACGAGCTCTGCCCTTCCTCCTCACCTTCGTGCTCTGATTTCATATTCTACACTTCTGCCTTTATACTCTGCTTCAGCTCCATGGCCTCCTTCCTGCCCCTGCACATAGGGAAGTTGCTCCTGTGTCAGGTTCTTGCACTTACCATTCCCCTACCTAGAACTTTCTGCTCCTAACTCTCAGGTGATTCATCTACCCACTTAAGTTTCTTTTTTCATAATCCTTATCAACATTCAACATATTATATACTAATTTGTTGATTGCCTGTCTACTCCCAGTAGGAATTTTTGTCTGTTGCTTACTAATGTATCTTTACCAGCTGTAGCAGAGGTTGACATACAGTAAGCAGGTCCTTAGTGAATGCTATTGATAGAATTAGTGTAAGTTAGGAGATAGATAAATAATGATGGTTTCACTTATATGTGGAATATAGAGAAAATAAGCAAAAGGTGAGACAAAGACAAATCTTGAAAGCTGATTGTAGGCCTGAGTCATCCAGGAGGGTAGAGAGGTGCATTGGAAAGGGGTTGGGTGGGAAAAGAAGGGGCAGGGCATATTGGATTATGATTAAAGCTATCAGAAGGGGTAAGTGGTAGGGTGGGGCAAAGGGGAGATGGGGTTCCAATGGAGGATTACCGGGGTTTTGGAGGTGGGAGTGGTGAAAAAACATACATTTATAGAGGTATAAACCTAAAGTGCTAAGACATGTATTAGATGTCAATACATATTACCTCAATAAATATAACATTATAAATATAACACACATATAACCCCCCAAAATGCAGACTGATTTCAATAAATAGTTTGATATTGAAAAAAGGGAACTAGTGATTGAAGGCATGCAAGATGCATAAATTTTAAGGTTCTATTACTGATTTCTCAAGGAGCATACATATTAATCTTTTCTACAGTTTCCTAGTTTATTTTTTCTTTATCAGCTTTTAGGAGTTTGAGGACTTTGGACATTAAAAAAAATACTTCCTTTTAAGTTTCATGTTTGTAGTTAATATATACCCTGATGAAAATGACTTACACAGCTCATAGAGAAATTTCTTCTAGATTTCTTCTTTTATCTTTACAATGATTTATTATTATTATTAAAAACAATATCATGAATTCTTTAAAAGTTGTTAAGAACTTCCTATCAACGTTGAGTCCTATAACTTTAAAGGCAACTATAAACTTCTACAAGTCCTATAAACTTAAAGGCCACTTTTTTTGGGCAGGGGACCTTCTCTGGTGGCAAAACAGGTTAACACTCAGCACTGCAAGCTGGCCACATCGACTTCAGTGCTGATTCTCCGCCCATCTGGGAGGAGATCCACATGATGTGGCAGACTTCTCCTGTCTTGCCTGCTGCTCCCCTCAGCAGTGTATTTCATTAATCTTCCTGTTCTGGTCCCCATTCTATCTCTGGTGAATCCTCTCACCACCCCTGTACCTCTGGCCTGTACCCCAGTTCTGTATGCATATATAAATAAATTTTTCTTTAAAGGCCACTTTTTGATTTTGAGGCTAGTTTGGTAAACTTGTACAATAGGGTATTTATCAAATAGATTTTGGGAAAGCTGGTTTACTACTTTGGGCCTGGCCCCCTGCTGATCCCTGATTTCCCACTTGCAAGTTCCCCGTAGCTGCTCTGACTGATTTCCACCTGCTTTTGCAGGTCAATGTCAGTGCACAGTGGAACTGGATTCACGTCAGCTCGGATGCATGTCGTCTGGCCATCATCTGGAAGTATGGTGGCATCTACATGGACACTGATATCATATCTATCAGGCCCATTCCTGAGAAAAACTTTTTGGCTGCACAGTCTTCTCAGTACTCCAGTAATGGAGCATTTGGTTTCCTCCCCCAGCACCCCTTCCTGTGGGAGTGCATGGAAAACTTTGTTGAACACTATAATTCACACATCTGGGGCAACCAGGGCCCTGATTTGATCACGAGGATGTTGAAAATATGGTGCACACTTACAGACTTCCAGGAGGTGAGTGATCTGAGGTGCTCTAATCTGTCCTTTCTACATCCGCAGAGATTTTACCCCATCTCCTATAGGGAGTGGAAGCGCTACTATGAAGTCTGGGACACAGACCCAAACTTCAACACCTCTTATGCCTTGCATCTGTGGAACTACATGAACCAGGAGCAGAAGACTGTGGTAAAAGAAAGTAACACACTCGTGGAAAACCTCTACCGTAAGTACTGTCCCAGGACTTACAGGGACCTGATTAAAGGCCCCGAGGTGTCGGTGACTGGAAAAGTGGGTCCAGATGAAAAATAGAACCACTGTTGACTTGCATCATGGAACTGTATATTTCCTAAGATGCCACACTTTCCAAGATCTCCACTTTCCAAGAGGTGTGGGGGCTTAGTCACACATCAGGATCAACTTCCTCTGTTTATAAGAGAAAAATCTGAAAGAAGAGAGAAGTATAAAGTAGAAAAGTTTATTTCTTTCTCATATAAAAGACATCTGAAGGCAGACAGTTCAGAGTGGAAATGGTTGCTGCAGTCATCAGAGCCCTTGCATTTTTCCTTTGTCATCCTTAGTATCAACAGTCCCTTTACCTATGACTGCTTGATCTCCAATCCATCCTGTCTGCATCTCAGGCAACAGGCTTAGGAAAGAAAGAAGGTGTACCTCCTTCATTTTATGAAATCTTCTTGCAAGTACCATGTAACACTTCTCCTTACTTTGTATAGGCCAGGCTGCAGCTGCAAGAGGAGCTGGGAAATTTAAGGAAGATAAAATGGGTTTTGGGGATTAATAGTTTGGATACATGTTCTATGTAGGTCTGTAATATTAATTCTAGGACCTGTTAGATAATTGATGTGGGGAAATGGATTCAATTACTAATGCTGATTTTGATATTCATTAATGCCTTCAGTTGATAAGTATTTAGTCCCTTATATGTTCCAAGCTCTGATATAGATGATGAAGCTATGACTGGTTAAATATTTCGAATATCTACCTTAAATTTCTCATACATATGGTTTTAAAAATCACAAATGGAATCAGGTGATGCATATTATTTTGTCATTTGTTTTTCACTCCAACAATCTATTAT